CTATAGACTTTTACTATTGCTAATCCCGGTTCAACTTCCTCTCCGATTGTAATAAAATGTATTTCAATTGTGTAGCTATTACAAAATAAGCAGTGGTAAGTCAAGTCTTATGACAAGAGAAGACAGTCATGTGACTAGAAAAGTGATGAGTATGAATGTGGTTGAAAGGTGGAAATGGTTCGACTTTTTGAAGAACGGTATGGCTGTGAATGGGGTGAGTATTCTGATGACGGTTGATAGAGGAAAGTCCACTTATTAGCTCCAAGCGATAGATATTCGCAGCTGATTTATATTTATATATTATTGTATAAATATATGAAATCAGATTCACTATTGAATCGCATTTTTGATCTAGTGCGTTTAACGTCTAAGGCTAACATGCCTGCTATCAAGTGAAATGGTAGGCAAACTTTGGAAATTAAATATTATATTATTTCGCCTATAACGTTTATTAGTTCTTTCTCAGCTCAATAATGATATTATTAAACATCTGTTTTACCGTTGGCACGTATGTCGAATTCTCCGTGAAAATAATTCTTGAATAAAAGGAATCATTTGCAGGGTTATATACATTTTTCATCGCTTAGGTACCGCTTAGAAAAATTTGTGTACTATATTAACCCCCGCTAGATTTTTCGTACGTAAAACAAATTAAACTTGAACGAAAATTTACCATGTGTGTAATAAAGTTGTTACGTATTGTAAACTATATATAAATGCATAAAGAATTATGCATGTCAGCGCTAAAAACGTTGTAATGTACACTCAATTTGGTCCCCTCGCACTCACCATAAGCGCAATATGATGTCCTTATAATGTCCTTTAATAATTATTATCATTATAGAGCAATCGCCAAGAAACGGACGGAGTGGTGGGCGTGTAATGCGGTTTTTTGACAAGTCGCATCGTGCACTTGATGACTTCTTCGAAGTGATTAATTTTCATGATGATTGTTTCGCGGTACTAGGCTCGATTCACATCAAGACGGAAGCAGCCACGTGAAATTTCTTGGCCCCTTTGCCGAATAAAAAGGTGAATAAAACATTATTTCTCAAGGAAAAAATGTAAAACGCACTGCGTACATAGTTAAATACAGAGACATGAAGTTGTAAAAATCAATTGCTGCTTGCAACCAGTAACTTCTAACTAGTTCTGCCAAAGCCCAATTTTAATAAGGGAACGATTTTTCGATATTTATTTCGTTTTAACAACACGCAATTGATTACGACGAACTAATATCAGAACACAAACAGAACAAACTTAGTGAGACAAAAACAAAAATTCAAAACCGAATTTCCAAATAGCGTCCACTAGCGGCATGTTCCCATTTCTTTAAAAAAAAAAACGACTCTCGCTTTGACTTGTTTTTAATCTCTGAGGCGCGGGGAATTCACAAAAATGAAACACTATTTACAAAACACACCAGACTCTATAAGTAAACCTGTGGTAGGGCTACGCAACAGCCTTAACAGGTTGCAATAATGGGCAAGTCCGTCCGGGGAAGTACCACGAACTCACAGATAACCGGCGTGGAGTGGAAGTGTTACACTTCTGTGTTAAGTCCGCTGAGTTGAGAAACGGGGCATCCTTTATTAATAGGTGGCAACGCATCTGCAGCCTTACGGGTGTTGCAAATGTTGCGGTGGTTATCACGGTGGTCATCAGGTGAATCGCCTGAACGCTTGTCCCCTTCTCACATAAAAGAAGAATCAAATTAATGACACTGAATGCTCGCTTCTACAATCGCCTCTTCCAACTTGTTGTGAATCAATCCTTAGGATCGTATAATTCAGCAGATACGCGACAATCGCTGTGAATACGCCGTAGTATCAATCTTACCAGCTATGTTTTGCTGCATTTTAATGATGTTACCAGTTTCTCATGCGTATGTTTCTGAACCGTTTCGCGTGTCTATATAACTCGTGAGTTCATTTTACGTTACAACGCACGATTTGTTATGAATATTATTGCGTTATTAAAACGCAATGAATTCCATTCTTGTTCGATTCTTACCGTTTATTATTGTTATTTTAAACAGTAACGATGTTTTCAGACCGATTGTTTAAGAAATTTTACGACGCCTTGCTCTCAACGTGTAGCCTTTTCATGAACATTCGACGCTTTTCGAGTGTAGTAGTGTATTGATGTAAATAAAAAACTACAGCTTTTATAGATTTGCCAGCAGTCCCGTGGTGTTTTACTACCTATAAACATATTTACCATACCAAATGAGCATACCATAGTGTTAATACAGGAATATTCATTCCATATACAGCGTGTCGTTACCATCGCGACAATAAATGAACACACATAAAGGGGATAACTTTTTAAAGTTGTATTAAACATTTAAATTCTTTAAACATCAATATTTACAGAGTTATTAAATTTTCCAAAACAAAGAATTTTAGAACACCCTTACCTATAAAAGCGTAACGTAAAGTTCAATTGTAAAGGTCACAAAGCACATGAATGGGTTGAATGAATTTAAAAGAGACAAAACATACTGTTAGAAGGAGAGGCTTGTAATGCGACGCTGTGGCGCGAGTTGTATAGGTGTTACAATTTTTGTTTCTTTTTTACTTAATTAGTTTGTTTGAAAAAATTTTTTTTTAAATTATGGATGTTGTTTAACGTTAACATTTTTTTTATGATTATTGGCAAGTAGCGTTAGACGTGTGTTCATTTATTGTCGCGATGGTAAAGACACGCTGTATAACAAACAACTTATTATATGTCAGCTAGGTTTGCCCACGCCATTAGATTCTTTCCAATCCAAATTTGATTCAAACATCTTTAGCCGTCGCGGCGTGGAGAGAAAACAAAAACACAAGAACTTAAACAACTAGGATATGAGTTGTAATGAAATTTTACAATGGTTTTGGTGCTAAAGTTGGAGGCAAAACTAAGCTTCGCAAACGAGCGAATTTCGCGTCAGCTTATCGCACATTGACATATTTGAGTACGGCGGTTTGTCATAAATCATCTCCGACGCGGTCGCTTGGAGTGGCTATCTCTATGCTTCAGCAGTCAACTCGATCACAGCCGTCGTGTGTTACGCGCTTTCTTCGGGAAATTTTATAGATCTGTCTACACGACGCGACGACGACGATACACTTTAAAATTTCAATTCTTTTGTAAACTTTTCTTTAGCATATTAGAATATATGAAGTAAGTAATAATAATTTCGTTTTCTTCATTCGATTGTTGCATTCGTTGATAAAAGGGGAAATTTACACTAGCTGGCTATGTTATTTATCTTTTTATTTAGTTAAATATTAATTCTCTAAAAAACAACACGAGCTACGTCACCATAACAGACTTTATCCCACAAACGCATTATCACCAGGAAGCGATACGGCGAAGACGTATATTGTAATGATTTCAGCGCCCATTAAGGAATTGCGCCCAAGAAGGATTGGACTCTAAGAACGTTTGTATCCTTATCCTCCCTCCTGTAAATATATTGGACATATTTACATAACGTTATCTTGTCCCAAACTAAGCAAAGCTGGTAGTATGTATAATATGAAAATGATAAACTTATTTTTTTAAATCAATTCATTTTATTCGTAAATTTAAACACTTAAACACTAGAAAAACAATATGTTCTCTACTTATAATAACTAATACTTTTCCAGTAGTGGAAATCGAACCAACACCCTCAGGCGCAAGGGACAGCTTCACTATACACAAAGCTAATTGGGTCGTCAAGTCGGTATTACTCCAAGAATGTATTTACTTTCGCAGGACAAGCTTTATACAGTTTTCGACGCGACCACAGCGACATCTCCAAACCTCTGATATCCTGGTACATTAATACAGACCGTGTTACATTACTAATGAAATAAAGGTAAAAAATAAAAGGAGTGCCCTATTTGCTAATGTGGATAGGAAGTGCGCTAGTAATAACACGACAAAGTAGAAATAGATAAGCATTTTAGCTTAAAAGGAAAACCATAATAAATATCGGATATTTTTTATTGCCGCCGTTTGTGCAATACCTATAGATGATTAAAATATTACGTGTCAACAAGAAATATTAATCATCACTGGAAAGGCAAAATTACTTAACCGCCATATTAGCGGATTATTTATTATAGAGCCGTGATAGCTAGTGTCCGGGCGCTCGCCTTTATTTCAATATATACTCGAGCAACCTGAGTTCGATCCCCGGTGCCGGCACCAATGAAGTTTTTAACTTAAGTGCTGAGTTATCACGTGTTCCGCGGTGAAGGAAAACATCATGAGGAAACCTGCATATTGTCGAAATAATAACAAAAAAATGTATTTCGAAAATATGTGAAGTCCGCCAATCCGCAGTGGCGCCGCGTGGTGGACCTGATACCCTCTGTATAGAGGAGGCCTTTGCCCAGCTGTGGGACATGTATAGGCTGTTACTTTACTTTTACTTTTTTACATATTAGGCATTTGCAGGTTAAGTAATTTTGCCTTTATTTTGTTCATGATTTTCTTTCAACTTAAATACTCATTTGAACAAGGAATGAAAATCTTAAAAACTTCACTTTAACTTCTTCACCGTATATTTACACCAGCATACAGCGCTTTTATTCGGAAGTTATATTCTTATACAGAAACGCGTGCAAGAAAATACTAGAAATATACGTAGCATGCGAATGGTTCCATTCCAAGTAACTGACCTAAACTTCCAGAGAATATGTGGTTGGTTCGGCAATCATCAACTATAATTAGCACGGATTTTCTAAAAACTTGTCTTAGATAAATCACAAAATAATCTTTTACCTTTATTCTCCAAAACGAGATAGATTCCTACTATTTTAAAAGCAGTATTTTTAGTAAATAAGAAATCCCGCATCTCAAATTTAACAGTAATTATTCCACTTTAACGAAATGATCTTTAAATATTTTTATTATTTATATTAACGTGATTAATTGGGCGAAGAACAAATTGAATAACCTCGGACTTTAAAAAAAAACATATATTCAACTTAAAATAATTTGGTTTTTAATTTTCTTTGCAGGACGAGCTGGAAACTTTACGTGCAAAGTTGGAAAAGGTCGAAGGCGAGCGCACTCACTACAAAAACGAAACCGAAAAACTTGAAACTAAGGTAAGACTTTAATACATTTTTATAACATGTAGTCTCGAAATTAAACCATAATTTTATACTTTTTAACTCACGCAACAGTTCTTCATTCTTCATCACTCACTACTATGTTATTAATATTATAATATAATGTCTTTAGATTTCTCCATACAGATAATTCAGCTATAGCACCTCCCTTTTTCACACACAAGGGTTTGACATAGAAAGTATCAACGTAAAGAATGACTGTTCCATGCTACATGTATTTGTAAAACATATTTTATAAAAAATATAAAATATGTTTCACCAAATATAAACTTTATTCATAGCCTATTAATGTTTAATCCAATGTCAACCCTAACGTACGTAGTGCAGTTATCGGCTTTTACTATTTTCTATTATTTAATTTGCAAAGTGAGAAGTGTGCTACCGTGGGAAAGAAATCTTGTGTCGAGATAAAACCCACGCATCGAGCCTTATTTCTACCACGCTCTAAATAGGCCACTGTAATTGTCGGTTAGTGGACTAAAATAGTAAAACGTACGCACTGCACATTCGCTGAGAAAAACATTGTTTTTTTGCGACGGCACAATTATTATGCCGCCCGAGGTATAAGCTGAAACGGGAATGGCCGCCATTATTGGCGAGCACGCGTTTTTCTCAATCGGAGAACAGGTTTCATGTTAATGTGACGATAAAATTGAGCTCCTCCTAATGAGCCGCGGATCCAGTTTCGCGCCTAGCCGATGGGAAGACAAAGTCCGTGACTCCAACGAGAGGGCGTATATTTAGAAAAAAAAAAGCGTTTGACAAACGTCAAACATTTCTTTACTGTTTTTAAGGTTATAAAACATAATAAGCCCGTGTGAAGTGTAAAAAACGTTTCATCACTTATTCAAATATGCGTAGTTGCTTTCCCGATTTTAATTCTCTATTATATAAATAATTTTTATCCCAAGACTGAAAACGATTCAATCGCGATGCAATCGGGATATACCTTATACATAAAAATACAATCATGACAAGATTAGCTAGTATTCTGTTGTTTAATGTGCTTCTGGATTGTGTTATTTATGCAAATCACAATATGAAATACACACATTCATATAATACAGAGATAAACACATTATGGATTTTCAGTTTAATGGCGTTAATAATGCGTTAAATATATAAAATAGATATATAAAATCAAATAAAATATTTGATGATTTGAAACAAAAATACTAGCATTTTTAAAATCAAGTGTCATTTTGGAGGCGCTATAAAGTATTTACTTTATAGCGCCTGAGTAATTTTAATAGCAATAATATTTTCCAGACCGTTACACACTTATGTTTACTTAAGGCGCCAATCTGAACAAAAGCTTTCTACGTAATGACGATGTTTTACAGTTGCCTAGTAACAATTTCTTTTTTTTAATTCACATTTTTATTGATAAATCTAAGTGTTCTAAACTGCAGACGTATGTATGTTGACGGGCTGATCATTAATCTGGAACACTTCTCTATAGAATTCTGAATGACTTAACTGACTGGAATGAATAATAATAATAACTCCAGAATATACGTAAATGAACATGTGACGCCTCAAATTCGTCAACTATTTTGGAGTGCCAAAAAATAAATTAAAAGAAAACTTCAAATTTATATGGATACAAAATGGTAAGATTCTCATTAAGAAGAGCGAAATTGAGAAGAAAATATATCAAATTAGTTTTGAAAGTGACATAGAAGAAATCTTACACAAGAAAAAAGAGTGAAAGTTATTATACCTTCTTATTATATAGTCATACATATAGTTTACATTATAAATATCTATTTGTTATTTTTTTTTCTTTTCATAATATTAATACGTATAACATTTTATTAGTTTGCATTCCCTTATAACTAAAATAATATATAAAATAATATTTGCTTAATATTCATATCTATATTTTTACATATACATAAATATATATATATATATCTTTTTTTAATGACATCCAATTTTATCTCTCAACATAACATTCAAGATATACAGTATCACAAATACACGGAGGTACAAGAGTGGTATGAAGCACTAAATACACAGTCTACATGTTTCCAAATAATACACATAAATGTATGTTCCTTGCGGCTACACTTTGGAGAACTTCTAGTTCTACTTAATGCATGCCTACATAACTTAGATGTTATATACCTAACCGAAATAAACATCAAAGATTTTGAAATATACAAGTATGATCTAAACGGCTTCAATATGTATGCTCATACAAGAAATAATAGAAGAGGTGGGGGGGGAATATAATCTATATAAGAGAGAAATAACATTTATAAGAACAGAAATGTGTAGCAAATACTGTGAGACTGTGAGTTATTGGCAGGTGAGCTACAACTTAAAAATTATAAAGCGAAAATATTTGTAATCTATAGGCCTCCGGATCTAAATAAAACAAGTTTTATAAAGGAATTAGAAAATATCTTAAACAGCATTTCAAAAAGGTGCAATTTAATAGTTATTGGTGATATCAACATCAACATAAAAGAAGACAGTTTAGAGGCGGTCTCAAATAGGTACTTAAATAGTTTAAGCGAACTCGGATTGCAATGCGCGATACGTGATAACACTCGGGAGTGTGTTACTTCCAGACGATACGTAGCATCATGCATTGACCACGTCTTCGTGCGGACTGACAAGGTAGTAAGTTCTCTCCAGGCATATATAGTCACGAGTAGGATCGCTGATCATTACGTAATTGGACTCACAGCTGATTTAAGAATAATTAAACAATTAGAACAGTGTACTAAGCAGTTAGTGTTTAATAATAAATTGATATTTGAAAAACTCGATGCTATCATTTGGTCGGATTTAATGCTTATAGAAGATCCCCATCAACTATTTAATAATGTTGTATATATTTTTCAAAATATCTATAAAACATGTACCATCCATCGCACTCAAAAAGCAAAACGAAACACGCAGCCATGGGTTAGTAGTTATTTACAGCAACAAATTGAGAAAAAGGACTCGCTCTTTAGGAAATGGAAATCACAACCAAACAATAATAACTACAGACTAGAGTATACAAGACAGAGAAATTACGTAAATAAACTCATAAATCGTGCTAGAAATAAAAAAAGAAAACGTGAATTATTAAATTGTAAAGGGGATATGAGGAAATATTTGGAGTAACATTAATCATTGGTTAGGGCGAAATAGATTATCAGTGGATGATACAGTTGAAAAGCATATGCTAAATAAATATACTACTTATCAAGTTTGCGAAGGATTCTGTGCTACAAATTAAAAGTCAACATAAATGTTCAGAGTTATTTTTAAAACGGGATACATATGTTAAAGAAAGTATTGTGAGTTTTAGATATAGAAAAGTATTACCTAATCAAGTGCTAAAAGTGATAGAGAATTTGGACTGTAGTAAAACCCCAGGATCAGACGGTATTAGAGTAATTGATTTGAAGGAGATAAAATTTAAAATTGCCCCCGTAATTGCACGTTTTATAAATTTATGTATACAAAAAGGAGCATATCCTAGCGACCTAAAATTAGCGATTATAAGGCCAATTTATAAGCAGGGACCGCATGATCAATTCTCTAATTACAGACCTATCGCTATTCTGAATGTAATAAATAAAATTGTAGAAAAAATTATTGTTAGCCAGATAACACAGTTTATGGAAAATCACAAAATAATTAACGACGCTCAGCATGGTTTCCGGCCTAAGAGAAGCACGGCTACGGTTCTATGTAAATTCGTGGATGACGTAAATAGTTCTCTTAACGATAAAAAAACAGTATTTGCTATTTTCATAGATTTTAAAAAGGCATTTGACACTTTAAATCACGGGGGCTTACTGCAGGCCATGCAGGAATGTGGTGTTAGGGGACCGATTAATGTATGGTTTAGAGAGTACCTAAAGGACCGTAAATTAAAAGTTCGCATATGTGGAATGAATAGTAAGGCGGGTGACATTCAGTATGGTGTTCCTACTGGATCAGTGTTTGGTCCTGTCGGGTATCTAATGCACGTAAACAGCATGCCTAATATTATTAAAAACTGTAAGACTTACATGTACGCTGACGATACGTGCATTATATACAGCGACAGAAACCAACTGGCTATTCAGGAAAAAGTACAACAAGATTTTGATAATATTATCAGATGGGCTCACGACAATGGGCTCATTATTAATCTAAATAAAACTAAATGTATGCAAATAGTGTCTCCACACAAAAACAAGGGTATTAACATTGCAATAACTGGACACACATATGACTGTTTACACAGAAACCAAGTTGATTGCAAATGTTCGAAGTTGGAAAACGTAACTAATTACAAGTATCTGGGGCTAAATGTTGACAATCGTTTTAATTGGGGGTTACACATTGATTATGTATGTAACAAATTGCGGTCTATTCTTGGAAAATTGCAACACTTAAAATTTATCGTAAGTACAGGTGTTATGTACCTACTTTATCATGCATTGGCCGATGCAACTATATCATACGGATTGGGGGCTTACGGTCTCGCTTTTCCTACATACTTAAATAAAATAAAAAACTTACAAATAAGATTATTAAAGTTATTAGTTAATAAAAACGTTAAAAATTCACTCAATCACGAATATGAAAGGCTGTTTAAGATATGTAAAGTTCTCCCGGTAGATTTTAAAGTAAAACTGCACATCTTATGTGAGCAAATTAACAACAATCAGTATAGGCAAGAAAAGGATTATATATATCCAATTCGCTCAACAAGAAAGCCAAGTCTTGTAATTCCTAGAGTAAAAAATGTATATGGTAAGCGGGAACGACGCTGGATTGCACCGGTCCTAATTAATGAATTACCACGTAACACTTATTTAGAAGCAAAAAAATAAAAATGAGCTGAAAAACAAATTAATAAAACATTACCTATCCCTATGTCCGTAATTAGTCAACTCTGTAGTGTCACACTCAAGTACACACACATACATACACGCACAAACATAATAACACACACACACACACACGGAACCAAGTAAATTGATATTTAT